TCACTCGACCTCTCTCTTACATTCACACTCGACTTCTCTCTCTCTTTCACACTCTCGCAATGTCTCTCTTTTTAAATATTATATAAAATAAAATTAGACCATAGACATTAGATTTTTTTTATTGAATAATGCAAGCTTATAATTACGTAAAATTGATTACTCGCTCACACTTGCTCTATATATCTCGCAATCATTTACTATTTCAAACAATAACATTTAACCAAATTTGAATTTATAACATAACCAATTAATAATAACTAATTAAAATAAAACATATAATAATTAAATTTAAAACAATTTAATAGTTAAAATTAAAAACCGGACCGCTAAACCCCATATCCCATCCTTGTCTTCTTCCTGTCCATCCTCCTCTCCATCCTGTACCTCTCCAACCGCCTCCTCTTGATCCTCTTCCTCTCCATCCCCATCTTCCACTTCTCCATCCTCTTCCACCCCAAACTCCTTCTCCTTCATTGTTTCTCCAGTTTTGTCCTCTCCATCCTCTTCCACCCCAAACTCCTTCTCCTTCACGGTTTCTCCAGTTTTGTCTTGTTTTATAAAAACTACAGAACATATATTCCAAAACGTGATAAAAATCAATAATTTCAGAATATCAATGATGTTAAATATTGTTTATTTCTTTCATAAAAAAACTCTCATACTTTTTGTTTCTCTCTTTCAAATTTCTTCCTCCTCTATTTCTACGTTGAAATTCTTCGTCAATTTGGTCTTCATCAAGATCGCTTCCCTGAAAATCGTCTCTAATTTCCTCTTCAATTATATCAGATAAACTGCATCTGAAAGTACATTTATCTTAGTGATATAAAAATAATTTAACGATCTAACATAGGAAATTACTCACTTTTTTTTGGTTAATTTTTTTTCATTTTCCATAATCGTTTTCTGCTTAATCTTTTTCTCATTCTTTCTGTCTAATTTGGTTTCAATATCTTCTTCATCCTTTGAAACATCTTTTAATCTCACAGATTTATTTCCTACCACAGTGTCTTTTATGTTTGACGGCTTACTCCCCCTAAATAGGTAGGATAGTAAAATTAATTCAAAATTATTAAAATCGCCTGGAACATAAGCAAAATATAATATAAACTCACATTTCTCCCATCGTAAGATTATTTTGTCCTTTCTCTTGCGTCAAGAAAACAAATGCTACCTATGTTTAGATTAGTCAACTTCATCGTATCGTATTTTATAATTTATTCTTTTACGTACACTGTGAACATTTACGAAATCGTGCCAAATGGTAGAAAATTTACTCACATATACAGATGCGTGAAATATTATATTAGGAGATTTCCATGGCTTGGAGTTTATATTTTTGAGTAAATTTATAACTCGGATAATATCTATGTTTGCATATTATCCCACTTATAAATTGATTAGTTATTATAAAATCCAAATCTTAGAATTCTCCAAATATAATGATAATATAGAAATGCACTGATGTGTTGCACGATTTTTAAAATGTGCACATTGAAGGTACATGGATAAATTCTAATAAAAATAATTTTATTAATTTATTAAATATAAAAATAGATTCTCATCGTTAGGCGCAGAATGTAGATAGGTGCGCTGTTAATTGTACATTCTAATCTGCAAATTAGCGGAGATTACATTTTCAGGAAATACGATACGATGAGTTTTACTTATCCTATCATAGGTGTATGCAATTGTTTTCTTCACGCTAGGATAAGGACCTAAATAAACTTCTCATTGGAGAAATGTAAGTTTTGATTATATTTTGCTGATGTTCGGTCGATTATACTAAATTTGAATAAATTTTTGCATGTTACGTACTTTTGTCGAGTAAGGAGACAAAGATAATAGACACCGAAGGAAGAAATAATTTTCAGAAATTAAAAGATCGTTCGAAGGATGATGAAGATAGTTATTGAAATTTAGACAAAAATAAAGACCAAAAGATCTGAGAGAAAAAGTTTCTAGAAATCGAAAAAGAGTTTACTAAAAAAAAAGTAAGTTTATTCCATTTTTATATCGTTAAAGTATCTTTAGGTTTCTAGGATAAATCTACTTTCTGATTGTTTTTTTTCTCATTTACTTGAAGAGGAGGATCTTTCGGAAGTTCTGGAAATTGATGTTAATGTTAATCGACCTGAGCCAGAATTTGAACTAAGAAATAGAGGAATAACCAAATTGATGGAGAGGAACATAAATTAAATGAGTTTTTTTCTAAAACTAATATTCAAATTTTGAATTCAGTTATATTCCTAAATTATTCAATTTTTTTAGATTTTTCAATTTATGTTCTGTAGTTTTTAAAAATCAACACAACATTGGAGAATCAGTGAACTAGACGGTGGTTGGGATGGAAGAGAATTTAGAAGTGGTGGATGGAGAGGATGAGGATTGAGAGGAATAGCATCCACAGGACGCGTTTGGAGATGTAGAGGATGGAGAGATGGATGTATTGCAAGAAGATTTCGACAAGTTATTTTTAATTATGTAATTTTTTGTTTAATTTTTTTTGTATTATTTTAATTACTTACAAATCTATGGTTATGTTATAAATTTTATTTAGTTTATATGTTATTATTCGAAAGAGTGAAAGAAAGCGAGATAGATAACAAGAGAGAGCGAGAGAACGTTAAATTTTGAGAGAGCGAGAAAAACAAAACCGGACATATTGATAGAGAACGAGAGAGCGATAAAGATCGAGTCACCGCGACAGATAAATTTAACGAGAGATTGCTAATAATAAATTTTTTCTAGAAGAAATTAATAATAATTTTCAAAAATTTAAAATTTTTCTTTATTCATTTAAAAAAAATGTAATATGTATTTTCTAATTTAATTTCATATTGAATTAAAAAATAAGAGAGAGTGTGCGAGAGTGTGTGTGTGAGAGAGAGTGTGTGAGAGAGAGAGAGAGAGAGAGAGAGAGAGAGAGAGAGAGAGATAGTTGGCAACCTGCGTGAACCTCAACGCAGTTCTAGCTACAAGCGATTGGCGCGATTCTATTTGCATTTCGTAGTGTGGTAACAGTTCGTTAAATGTGCTATCTAAGATTATCCTTCTTGGAAGATCTTTTCTACTTTGTTGTGCGTTAACGGTGACTGAGATTCATTGCACCATTACGAGAAAATTGTTTAATGATTATTACCTAGTGTAGCCAACTTACGCTGAAGGACGACATCTAAGCGAAAAAAGAACCACGTCGCGTGAAAAGGTTAGTATATAATATAAATTTTTTAAATGACGTATAGTAAATAGATTTTTTACATAATTGCCTCAAAGATAGACCATATGATATTAATATTCTTATCTATATGTGTCAGGATACCTCGTGTCTTCGTCCGGTCGTGTTGATCTTTTCGACTATTTGTGCGTAAACGGTGACTGATATTCATTTCACCATTACCAGGACATTCTTTAATGGTTAATACCTATTGTACTAATATACGCTAATGGACGACATCTTAGCCAAAGAAGAACCACGGCGCTAAAAAATGTTAGTATATAATTTAATTTTTTTTAAGGACGATTAGTAAACCGATTTTATACGTAATTTCCAAAAATATAGACCATATGATATTTAAAATGTTATCTATATGTCTGCGGAATTAAAAACGGTGTCCATCGAATAATTCGGGATATTCAGTATCAAAGTTACTCGTATGGTATACGCGAAATGTATTATGAAGGGATACCTCGAGACGCGGTGCGGTCTATATGTTTGCGGAATTAACAACGGCGTCCATAGGAAAATTCGGGATATTCAGTATCAAAGTTACTCGCATGGTATACGCGAAATGTATTATGAAGGGATACCTCGTGAGGTGGTGCGGTCATGTTAATTTTTCCTCGAAACTGAGGGGAGCTTGATCTCGTCTAACACCGAAGGAGAGGGGGGAAAGGAGGACAGAATGCGAGAAGACATGTTCTCCGCCGCAATCTATCCAACGAATGCCGCTTTTTGCGACGCGATTCGAAAAGGCGTGCCTACTTTGGACCGTATTTTTGTGTTCGAAAAAGCCATTCAACGCCCACGCGCGCTGATCAGCTAATGCGGGCCCGCATTATTGACCACGTCTTGCATCAGCGACGCAACGCGTCGCGACGCCTCGCCACAAAGCACGCGTCTGTCTCCGGGCATCCAAAGCAGAGAAATTTGAATCGCGGGGAAGTACAGCTGCATCGCAGAACTACACTGATGGCTTATAGCGTATCGGCGATGGGGACGGAGTTTTTTTATCTCCTTCTTGTTCCTGTATCAGCGTGACGGTTTGACCGTGCACCTCTTGAACGGAACGAAGTTCCCCTAAATCGAATAATTTTATTAAACGGCAATTTTGTTTAATTACCTGCGCTACGGGATTAAGTTAATTGCGACCTCATTTGGTATGCGAGGTAAATTATTATTTACTGTTATTCAAGTTCGCCTTTTAAGTTCCGGCGGGTTTACGGTCGATTGTTTTAAATTACAAAGCGCCGTTTCACGGCGTGAGATGACAAGAATGAGACGTACGTTTGCGGACGGTTTCCAAATAAATCTAAGAAAGCGCACTTAGATTCAGGTTTACGCGCCTCCGTCGGCGTATAGGCCAATATGCCTTTTGGACGAGGCGGGCAAGTTGTTCGAGCGCATACTCGTCAACCGCCTCGTCCAACACCTGTCCCAGCCGGGCCCCAACAATATCTGCGGGGCCCAGTATGGGTTCA